AAGAAAGAAAATGTGAAAAGCTAAAACTGTTGTACAAATCAAAGACTGAGAGTACATCGTACTAATCAAATCTCGAATCAAACATATTAAGTAAGAAATGTGTTTTATGATCATTCAGCCAAGATGTATACAAAATCCAACTCACATGCTGAGGGCACTTAAATGTTTTGGGAGAAGATAACCCAAGTCTTTCTCTCGCACATTTTAAGTGGAAAACTCCCATACAATCTCGAACAGAGCATCCTACCTCCTCACCAGGAAAAATCAATCTTTGGCAAACAGAGCACTCAACCTGACAAAACATTACGAACCATTGAAACAATTGATCAAATATAACATCTAAACAAATGTATGCACTCCTAAAACGTTTAACAGAAAAGGGTAAAAGGCTGCTCTTCTGTGTGAGCTAATTACTTCTCAATCCCACTCATTCAATAGTATGCTACCATACTAAATGCAATAATATCATGCATTAAAGAGCACAAGATTAATTATTTTGCAATTCTCGATCGCCAATGGGATAAAGATTCTCAAATTCCCTTTGTTACTTTGATGGAGACAAGGTGTAGTCGAGCCATGTTGAGATAAGGTCATGATGTTTGACTCTAGCATTATGAAATGCTAGAAACCAAAAATAGCATAGAGTTCTCTTGGTGCTTTAAGCGGAAAAATAATAAAGTGTGGGTTTCAATAAAAAAATGCACAAATGAAGAATAAATCAAAGTATACATACATTTATAATTCAAGAATAATTACTAAAACTGGGTTTTGGGCTTAACTCAACCCCAAAAACTAGCCCATGAGTTGAGGATTGTTCAACACCATGTAAGGAGATAAACAATTTATTCTCCCACATCCCCAGGTTTTATCATCCGGAGCATGGACAACATAACATGGAGGCCAACAATGGGTAACTAAGAATTAGAATAGGTTTGGCTATGATACCATGTTAAGAAAATAGACCTTACACCTAACTTAACTCCAGAAGCTAGTACATGAGGCAAGGATTACTCAAAACCATGTAAGGGGAAAACAACTCATTTCATCAACAAAGTGGGATACTTAACTACAAACACACACCACAATTATATGGACAAAGGAATTGCAACAAACCATGATTAAGTGAAATCATTACATATTACTGTTGCCCCTTCAAGATAGAGCTTACGAGTAACGACATTGCACACCTTATTGCCCTGGTCCTAAAGTGAACCTCTCTCTATGCGACGTGAAACACTCTACCTATTTCAAACCTAACTTCAAGGAATAAGCATGCTTTAGCAATTTATGATTACTACATTTTCTCCTGACATACTTTAAATACATTAACAAGTATCATTAGGAAAAAGATAGAAGAAGAAATTTGCCAATTCCGGAGCATGAATAAGGGGCTTTTTTATGACGTGCCAGCTTGCAGGCACCTCAACTAATACCAAGTAATTCTGCACACCAAGACTTAAGCTGGGAAGAAATCACCTAGTTTTTTTGCTTTTTTACATTTTTATTAGGACAAAATACAAGATAATAAGAAGAATGTATATATCATGGACAATCCCATTTTCAGCTAACATACTTTAAATTCATCAACAATATCATTGAACCTAAGACCTCATAATTCTCGCCTCACTTCATTGACCACTAGGTAACGCTACCAACCTAGACTTAGACACATGATAAGAAATAGCCTAATGTTATTGTTTTTCTACATTTTTTTTAATAAGGAAAAAATACAAGATAACAAGAAATGTATATCTCATGCAATCCCAAATGGTAATAGTAGAAACCACATAACTACATTTTCTACTGACATACTTTAAATTCAATAACAAGAATCATTAGAAGGAGGAAACTATAAATAGAATATTTACCAATTTAGGAGCATGAACAAGGAATGGCAAGAAACAATTGTTTTTATCAACACCAGCATTGACTTTCCTCTGAACCCAATCTTTAACATAATCATCCAAACTCCTTTTCGCCACAGACCCACCACCACACTGCCTCAAAACCCTATTTTCAAGTTTCAATTCATCTTCTTTATGCAAAATAGGGAACCCCATTTGGGTATTTGGGTCAGAAACAATAAGGGCCTGGATTTGGCTATCTGATTCACTTGAAATTTCAATATTTGGGTCCAAAAGATTGCCAAAATCAGGCATTTTTAAAACCATAAAGATTGATAATTAAGAGGGTTTCGGTGTGTAGTTTTTGGAGAGAATTGTTTGCATCAGTTGTATGTGTCACTGTGTGACTGTGTGTGTGGGAGAGAGAAGAGGGAAAGGATTTGGGTGGAAATTTCAGTGGGCGGGAAAAGCTAAATGTTTTTATATAAGATTTGGTGAGGAGTAAAAGTGTTAAATTCAAGATTTTTGTGGGGAATAAAAGAAGTTAATTGAAGGGGAATAATTTAAAGGGAAATTACCAGCTATGTCCATCTACAGGTAGCTCATTACAAAAATTGGTCAATTGATAAAATATTACTAATATTAACCAAATTAGCCAATTAGTTATTTGTAGCAAAAAATATCAAATTTTTGCTTTGTTTTGAGTGGGTGTTATTAGAATAGATTTGGCACAACTTAAGGAGTTTGAATCTCAGTTTTGGGATGATTTGGTGAAGTTTTGAGGTGGTTTGAATTGAAAATTCGAAGTAAAAGCTGAACATTAAAAAAAATGATATGTGTATCACACTGTGTATCATTTGTGTATCACATATGTATCATATTTGTATCAATTGTGTATCACATGTATATCCATGTATACCTGTGTGTGAGATACATGCGTGATACATGTTTGATACATGTGTCACAGAAGACTTTTTTGAACTCGATCTAATTATGAATTTTGATACAAGACCACTCCAAATCACCTCAAATCTTCCTCAAATTTTGTATATTGACTTATCTATATATTTTCAATGAATTTCAACTATACCCATTGAAAAAGTTCCTTTTTTGTTTAGATTTTTGGAATATTTGTATAGATTTTTGTATTTCATTACCTTATTTGCTACCCCGTCCATGAAATTTCTTTTCCGTCTTGTATCTAATGTTGCTAATCACACTTAAAAATATGAAAGGTGATTTTTGCATGTGATTCTTTGAGAGAAAGAACCCTATTATTTGGTTTTTCAATTTTTGTTGGCTAGTTTTGGTAAGACTATGACTAATGGCTAGAGGTTAGTAAGTTGAGATTTATTTGGGACATTTGTGTAAGTTTCCCTCATATAAATAGCAATTGGCAAATACCAGTTTGGACCTTTGATGTCACAAGGCCCACTCATTATTCGACTGGGCTATGTCCAACTACTACTATTGGGCCCTTTTGACTTTGAATTGGGCTTGTGTTCAGTTATTTTCTTGAGAAATTTTCATAAAGCACTATCTTTTAGTGGTAATTAGCTATCTATAGATACCATTTGCTATATTACGGATTGTAGATACGTTTTCTGTTGTTATAAGATGTATTAGATGTATTTAAGCTACTATATTCATGAATACAGTAGCAAAAATAGGTGTGAATCAGGGAAGTCCAGCTAATCAGTTGTTGTATTCGAGTGTATTCATGGCGTGAAACATTGGATTATAGCTTGACAAATTATTGTATTTGTCACGACTCGGATTTCCCACTCTCGAGAGTCGTGATGGCGCCTACTAGTGAAAGCTAAGCAAGCTAACCATTTGTATTATTTATTTTTTTCCCATTTTAATCCATTAACAATTAAGAACCAACATAATATAAACAACGGAATTTAATAAGCGGAAGACTGAAATGTAATATTTTAATAATAATACCAATACCAATCTATAACGTAAACTACCCAGAACTAGTGTCACAATTTCACAGATTGTCTGAGAATACTACAAATAAGGGTCCGAAAGACAAATACAACGCTGTCTCCGAAATACATAAAAGAAACAGAATGAAAGGATAGAAGGAGACGCCAAGGCCTGCGGACGCCTGCAGAACTACCTCGGGTCGCCTGATGAACTGGAAGCAGCAACCTCACTACGGTCCAAAAGCTACAGTATCGGGATCTGCACAAAAGAGTGCAGAGTGTAGTATCAGCACAACCGACCCCATGTGCTAGTAAGTTCCTAGCCTAACCTCGGCGAAGTAGTGACGAGGCTAGGACCAGACTACCAAATAAACCTGTGCAGTTAAATCATATACAGCGGAAAATAAAGGCAGACATTTACAGTTAAAGATGGGAGGGGAAAAGCATGCTGCGGGGAGTATCAGATAACAACAGAATACCAAAGAGGAATATAGAGAAACCAAAATTCAGTTGCTAACAAGAATAAGAGAAATAAACACAGTATTCTAACAAGGATAATAGAAACAAGCACAGTATTCACTTTCATCTCATGCAACCCGATCCCATTTCAAATATCTTGTTGCAGGCGTGCAACCCGATCCCATTTCATATATCTTGTTGCAGGCGTGCAGGCCGCTCCCATTTCATATATCTCGTTGGAGGCGTGCAACCCGCTCCCATTTCATATATCTCGTTGCAGGCGTGCAACCCGCTCCCATTTCATATATCTCGTTGCAGGCGTGCAACCCACTCCCATTTCATATATCAAAATCAATCACAAGGAATCCCGGCAAGGGCACAAGAGTACAACAACAATATCCCGACAAGGGAGACAATAACATCCCGGCAAGGGAGACAATATCATAAACAATAACATCCCGGCAAGGGCACCAATAATGATAATCATCATATTAGGCATGAATAAGTCACAACGGAGTCACAACAATTACAATACTAGACTCACGGGCATGCTTGACACCGACGTATAGATACTCGTCACCATGCCTATACGTCGTACTCCACAATTAACACATAGCAAATAAGACACAACTCCTAATCCCTCAAGCTAAGGTTAGACCAAACACTTACCTCGAACTTCCACGGCTAACTCAAGCCTCAAACACCGCTTTTCCTTTAGAATTCACCTCCAAATTACTTGTATCTAGACCAAATTAATTTATCAACATCAATAAATGCTAAAGAATTCATACCCAATGCTTAATTATAGGTTTTCTATCATTTTCCCCAAAAAGTCAAAAATCGACCCCGGGCCCGCTTGGTCGAAACTCGAGGTTCAGACCAAAACCCGATAACCCATTCACCCACGAGCCCAAATATGCAATTAGTTTTGAAATCCAACCCCAAAACGAGGTCTAAATCCCAATTAAACAAAAAGCCCTAACTCTACCCAAATTCCTAATTTCTACCATAAAAATCCTAGATTTTTGGACGAAGATTGATGAAATGCAATGGAAAAACGAAAGAAAAAGGTTTAGAATCATATACCAATGCTTTGGGGAAGAACTTGTTCTTTGAAAATCGCCTCAATGCTCTCTAGTTTTGAAAGTATGAAACTATGGACTCAATCCCGATTTTGCTACTGTTTTTAATTCACTAGACAGGACTTCTTCGCGTTCGCGAAGGGCCTGTCGCGTTCGGGAAGGGTCAGGCCCAGTTGCCTTCGCGTTCACGTTTTGTGGCTCGCGTTCGCGGAGCTTTAGCTCCTCAAGCCATCGCGTTCGCGTAGAACAAAAATCCCTTTCCCCCTGTCCCGGCCAAAAGGCCTTCGCGTTCGCGATAGCAGGTCCGCGTTTGCGAAGGGTAGCACCCCCAAGGCTTCGCGTTCGCGACCTGGTTCTCGCGTTCGCGTAGAAGGAATTGTCCTTAAATACCAAAAACTGAAAACCTGCAACCTTTCTAAGTGTAAAAACATCCCGAAACCTATGCAAAACTGACCCGAGCCCCTGGGGCTCCAAACCAAACATGCATACTAGCTCAAAAATATCATAGGGACTTACTCATGAGATCAAATCGCCAATTAACAGCTTTAACAACGAATTTAGCATCAAAATCAAAGAAAATTCTCAAGAACACTTAAGTTTCAAATTTCACAACCGAGGGTCCGATTCACGTCATTTCAAGTCCGTTTCTTACCAAATCTTACAGGCTCAATCTAAACGCCATATAAGACCTGTACCGGGCTTCGTAACCAATATACGGGCCCGATACCATCACTTTCAAATACATTCAAATTTCCAAAAACTCTTAAAATTTCTGTTAAACATTTTTTTTTCAAAAATTCATTTCTCGGGCTTGGGACCTCGGAATTCAATTCCGGGCATACGCCTAAGTTCCATATTTTCATACGGACCCTTTGGGACCGTCATATCATGGTTCCGGGTCCATTTACCCAAAATGTTGATCGAAGTCAACCTAGATTCATTTTAAAAGCAAAACTCATCATTTTTCACAGATTTTCTCATAATGGCTTTCCGGATACACGCTCGGACTGCGCACGCAAATTGAGGTGAGACAAAAAGGAGGTTTTAAGGCCTCAGAACACAGAATTATTTCCAAAATAAGTGATGACCTTTTGGGTCATCACATCCTCCACCTCTAAAACAACCGTTCGTCCTCGAACGGACATAAGAAGGAAGTACCTGAGTCGGAGAAAAGATGGGGATATCGGCTCCGCATATCGTACTCGGACTCCCAGGTCGATGCCTCAGCAGGCTGACCTCTCCATTGAACACGAACAGAAGGGAAACTCATCGATCTCAACATACGAACCTGCCGATCTAGAATGGCTACCGGCTCCTCTTCATAGGACAAGCCCTTGTCCAACTGAACAGTGCTGAAATCTAACACGTGGGATGGATCGCCGTGATACTTCCAAAGCATGGACACATGAAACACTGGGTGCACGACGGATAAACTCGGCGGCAACGCAAGTCTGTAAGCTACCTCTCCCACTCGATCAAGAATCTCAAACGGGCCAATGAACCTAGGGCTAAGCTTGCCCCTCTTCCCAAATCTCATCACACCCTTCATAGGCGACACCCGAAGCAACACTCGCTCGCCAACCATGAATGCCACATCACGAACCTTACAGTCGGCGTAACTCTTTTGCCTGGACTGAGCTGTACGAAGCCTGTCCTGAATGATCCTGACCTTGTCCAAGGCATCCTGTACTAGATCCGTACCCAACAACCGAGCCTCTCCCGGCTCAAACCACACAACCGGCGACCGACACCGCCTACCATATAAAGCCTCATAAGGAGCCATCTGAATGCTCGACTGGTAACTGTTGTTGTAGGCAAACTCCATTAAAGGCAAAAACTGATCCCACAAGCCTCCAAAGTCAATAACACAAGCTCGGAGCATATCCTCCAAAATTTGAATAATACGCTCGGACTGCTTGTCCGTCTGAGGATGAAATGCTGTGCTCAACTCGACCCGTGTGCCCAACTCACGCTGCACTGCT